CAAAAAGCTCAAGAAAAAAGCATGTTGTTCAACAATATGAATACAGGATTTGGCCGGGGTGCTGGTAGAGGGGCTCCTGGGAGAGGTGGTGGTGTGGGCCCCATTAAAGGAGGATCCTATAATCCTGGGCACATGCGTAAACCCTATGAGAAGCCTATGCATGCTGTGCAACAACCAAGTCCCAGTGGTCCGATTGGTGCAAGAGACTTTGCTACCTACCCAGAGCCCCTTATAGGTGAGTTATGTATAATTTCTGCAGCAACTTGGTATTGCAATACTTTGCTCAAAAGTAAAATTATAATGGTAACAAGCACTACATGTAGCTTGTTGCCTTAATGATTACAGTTGTCATCAAGTCAAGACCAGCTTAATATACCCTGTAAATGATACCAATTCAGGGCTATGCTCTACGTAGTGGTGCCCAATGGTCTTTGGCAATTTTCTTTTTCCCTTGGGCAACCAGGATAGATGTATTTGAGTGGGTGGAATGCAATGTATCTGGGTGAGGGTAGTCCTGAATAGGACTGATGTTATAAGTGACTAACTTTTTCGACAACCTGTCCAGTAGTGATCATCAGAGTCAGTGACTACCACGCAGGTTGTTAGAAGGTCCATCACTGTGAACACAGTCCTATTCAGGAGTACGCCCACCTGGAGAGTTATAATCCACTTACTTGTGAAAGTAATAACTCCTGAGTTCAAACCAAATGCAGGGCTTGCAAAAAAGTGCTGTGTGGTAGTCCTTGAGAACTAAATTTCCCTGCCTGGCAAGTGATTCTGCATACTCACTTGCCCAGGTTCAGGGAAATCAAGTACAGTACACTGTATGTTCATTGTGTATTCAATGCTATATACATGTAATGTGAATAGTTCAAATTTGAACTTTGTCTTTGTTAGTCATCATTACATGTAGCAAAACTACATTTTACATGTTCTGGATGCCTCTCTTACTGTGTAAGCAATCTCTGGCAGAGAGTGACCATCCTTAGTGTCTACCTGTCATGGATTTTGGGATTGGGTAGGGACAGCACCTTGCTTGTCCATTCCCTTCAGGCTGGTCTGTACGTATGTAAAGCTGATAAGAAGAAGTAACCTATTCTTTAGAAACCAAATCTTTTTACCCATGTACTTAAAAATGATTTTAAGATGGAATCCATCAGGAAATTGAGCAATTTCAACTTTCAGTGGACGAAAACCTTGTACCAGAATAATTTAAACAATATCACATTCTTTTTTACATTTTTCAAGGGCTATAGACATAATAAGTTATCTGTAATAACACCAAAGACTATTTCTCATGAGAGCCTGAGAACATAAATGTCAAATTTCACAAGAATTGTGAAAACACAGGTAAAATTCTGAAAATTTCATGTGCAAGATGTCATTTTGTGAAATATGACATTTATTTTCTTGGGCTCCCATAATAAATTTTCTTTGATGTTTGACAGATAACTAATAATAATTATTTGTTATAAACATCAAAGAAAATTTATTATGGGAACCCGAGAAAATAAATGTCAAATTTTTCCCTTGAAAAATGTAAAAAAATTATGATGCGATATGGTTTAAATTATTTTAGGACAAGGTTTTTGTCCTCTGAAAATTAAAACCGCTTATTTTCGTGATGGATTCTGTCTTAATCCACTGTATGTGGAAATGCTGACTATGTTTGTTGGTAATAAAGATACAGTGTCATCTTAAAAAAGTGGTGTTTGTACATGCATGTTTGCTTTTCTAAAGTACATGACTGTACAAAAGTCTCACTGCACTAATAACTACAGAAGTTGCTTATTCAATTTTGCTGTTACAATACCCCAAGGCAAGCCCAACCTGGTAATCATAGGGTTGGGGCTAAGGATACCCAGAACATAACTTGCATTAGTTTTTGTGTGTTATATGGGAGCCATATTCACCATTATTTAATGTACCACTCTAAACTTGGTGCAATAGGAGAACAGTACTACATGCATTTCTGAAAAAAGTGATTGTACAGTAGCCTACATGGCTGTTATAACCGTGAATGGCTCTGTTAAGCTTAAGAGGTATAATGCATGTAGGCTGTACCAGTAACACTCAAACAAAGCTAAGACTTGATTTAATCCCTGCTCAGGGATGTGCCCAAGGGGTAGATGGTAACAGGAAGAACTGAAGGCGCTTATCCTGTGAAAGACTGATACACTCCAGAATGTTTGATGATAGTTATTACTGTATTAAGCTGTGTATAATCATGAAAGACATGGTAGCTAAAATTTTGAGTCAAGGTTAAGGAGAAAGAAAACATTATACACAGGCAAATACAGTAACTTGACTAAAGTAAGTTCATACATGTAGCTGATGTGAAAGTGCATGGCAAGATGTCTTGCAGTTGTTTAGGTGTAAATGCTCACTCTTTGTGGTACATTTTCACCTTTTCACAATCTGGAGTGTTATGCCACTTGTTCTGTTGCTGTAGGCCTGGAGTATGTTACAGAAATCCAGGTTATAGGACAGAGCCCGAGGTACCACTGCGAGCTGTGTGACTCCAAATTTGATCACNGCTCTGTTAAGCTTAAGAGGTATAATGCATGTAGGCTGTACCAGTAACACTCAAACAAAGCTAAGACTTGATTTAATCCCTGCTCAGGGATGTGCCCAAGGGGTAGATGGTAACAGGAAGAACTGAAGGCGCTTATCCTGTGAAAGACTGATACACTCCAGAATGTTTGATGATAGTTATTACTGTATTAAGCTGTGTATAATCATGAAAGACATGGTAGCTAAAATTTTGAGTCAAGGTTAAGGAGAAAGAAAACATTATACACAGGCAAATACAGTAACTTGACTAAAGTAAGTTCATACATGTAGCTGATGTGAAAGTGCATGGCAAGATGTCTTGCAGTTGTTTAGGTGTAAATGCTCACTCTTTGTGGTACATTTTCACCTTTTCACAATCTGGAGTGTTATGCCACTTGTTCTGTTGCTGTAGGCCTGGAGTATGTTACAGAAATCCAGGTTATAGGACAGAGCCCGAGGTACCACTGCGAGCTGTGTGACTCCAAATTTGATCACAACTTGAAGTTCCCTCACCTTGTTGGAAGCAAACATCGTTTCAATGTGCTGGTGAGTAGACAAGACCTCTGAGATGTTTGTACCCATTAAAATGTGATAAATGCCTTAAAGGGGCTATGCTGTTCTGTTTGCTGTCTTTTTAAAAAGCAGACATTTTCCAGATCAATATTGGTGTAGTAGTGTTCAGGGCTGTCATTAAGAGCTGGGTAGGGAATTCCCCTAGCCACTATAAATGTGGTCCCCAGCTACTTTCATGGAAAATTGAAGAAAAATAGAAGCAAATGAAATCCCCAGCTGTTTGATTCCCCACCTACTTATTTTATTTACAGTACCTGGCAACTTGAAATCTTGGTGACAACCCTGTAGTGTTGTTATCTAAGACATAGGCATTGAATCTGTCTCCTGTCATCTGTTGCAATGATGACAAGAATGGGGGTGGATTAAAACTTGAAAAAGTTGGGCAATGTTGTCAAGTTTTAACACCCTTTCTGCAAAAATCACCAAAAACGGATTGTGTTAGTACTCCCTGGTGCAATTTGTGTGATATCCTCTTCATAACCCTAACCTTTTCTGAGTAAAATATTCCATTTTGAAATGGGGTTTAAGAGGTCATGAAGTTCAACGATTGTTTGCATGGGATTTCCTGAGAATCTGAAGTCAAGTTACTTCAAACAAAGAGTATCTGAAATGGTGATGAATTGTCAACTTTACAAAATGATGAAAGATGGTTATGTTAGAATTTTAGGGTTACATTCTAGGCTTACAACATCTGTCCAATTTTACATTGATCTGTGAAAAGTTTCCTGTAGAATTGGCGGGACTGGTTTTACTGATCAATGGATGAAGAATAGAAAAGAAAGAGTTGTGCACATGTACATTTTTGTTGCCCACAAGCTTACAGCTTTAGATCCCTCTGACTTGGACATAAACAATCTTTTGTCTAGTTTCTGAAGTTTACCTTGATTCACTAACTTTTCAGATGTCAATCATTCCGGTTTTCCCATGTAGAATAAAATAAAAAAAGACTTTGCACTAGAGAGTTTTTTTACAGGTCAAATTCAGGTTAATTTTTTACAACTTAACTTCTTGATTTCCTCTGTCTCCTAGCCCTAATATTATTCATGAATTAGGGCTAGGAGACAAAGAAAATTGAGAATCAACCTGGGTTAAAAATTTTAACCTGAAGATAATTTTGACTTGTAACATTTACACAATAGACCTGTGTCACGTGGTGGCCATTTTGTCTCAGGAGATTTAAAAAGCTTTGCTTATGCACGGCTAGCCTCGTTCTCTCTATGAGGCTAGCCATGCATAAACAAAGCTTTTGAAATCTCCTGAGACAAAATGGCTGCCATGTGACAAGGGTCTATTACAGGTGAGCCCAGTTTGCATTGTGGCCTGTAGACCTTTCCCTTTACTTTCAAAATGGCATATTTTACTTAAAAGTGCAAAACATCAGGTCCACATTGTTCAAATGTGGGATAGCGCTATCCACCAGATAAATCACTATCAAGTGGATACATGTAAATATTGGGGAAACCAATTACGCTCTCCACTGGATAGAGATTTATCCAGTGGATAGCGTTATCCACCATTTGAACAACTAGGGTCAGACATTCTGTGATTACAAGCCTGGGCCGAGTTGTCCAAAGCTGGGTTAAGATAACCCAGGGTTAGTGCGAGATTTGAATTCAGATTTGAAAGCTTAAAAAGCATTTCAGTTTTAATTCTTTTTGTCTACAAGTTGATGATTGAAAGCTCTAAATATAACAGAGAAAATTATCCGAGAAAATGCTTTTGAACACAAGAAAAAGAAACCCGGGTTAAATTTAACCCCGGGTTAAGCGCTAATCGGTCTTCGAACAACTGGGCCCTGGTGTTGAAAGTACTTACCTATTGCCATCACGGCTCAGATGTAAACCTTGGTCTGGCTCTCTCTTTACTCAAAGGGGATAAGTCATGCTATCTTTATAAATAGTTAAATGGTTTTAACATGTATTGAAATCCAATGGTCTTGTTATATTTGAGGCATTGAAACTGTTTATTTTCATCCTCTGCTACTGGTGACAGGTGAACATGGACTGAAATTTGCAAACAGTGGGCCAATATTTTGTTTTAATGGTGGGCCAGCAAAAATCACCAAAACATTATTATTTTAAGTGTTCCCTGAAGAAATTTGTCTTATGTTGTCATAAATCTACAACAGCATTTTGTATATGGGTAGCTTTTACATGCAAAATAACTGCAAGTAAACCTACTCTGGAGCAGCTTGATCATTATTCAGTGGGAAAGCAAATCAAGAGAACAAGAAAGTAAATGAAAAAAATCAGGCAGACACTGCCTCTTGATATGAGGTACAGTATATTATTATTATGGAGAAATGGAAATCATTTACCACTGGTTTGTTGCACTCTCTTGTTCTCTGTAACCTTGTTTTCATGAATTGTTTCCTGGCTTTTATCACAGGAAACAAAAAGAAAATACAATCAAAAGAACTTCCTTACTGTTCATTTCCCTGCTTGCTAATTGCATATACTCAGCAACTTAAAATTTTAGTGAAAACCCTGCCAACTGAAAACCTTTCTCATAACATTATTAATTATCATATTTTAACCCAGTTATATGATTAATTTATAATTTTAATTTTCGTTCATTCAACATTGCTCCCATCATAAACAGTTACCAAATGTTGTACCTTCTTGAGGGAATTCTCGAATTTCATTCACTTTTAAATGTTTTTAACCTTTGTGGATTAAATGATAAAAATTAAACAATTCTTCTGTCCCTCTCACAGAAAGAGAAGGTACCAGAGGTTGCTCAGAGTGTCCGTGGCGATGTCAAAAAGAGGTCAGAATTGTCCAGTAAGCTCCTCGAGGAAGCAAGTAAACTTGAAATGATGGAAGGACGACAGCAGGTGAAAACCAGAACAGAAAAGAGCCCGTTTAACCGTATCAACAACCAAGCTGCAGGTGATGTGGGTGGATTCAGTGGGAACTTCAAGGGGCAGCAGTTATCTAGAGGAGGTCAGTTGACTCTCAGTGGTGCCTAGCATCAGTAGGGAGTTTTAGCAACGACGACAGCTACGCTAACGAGAACGGCAAAAAAACAATATGTTTGATTAGGAAAACAACAACTTTGCACGTGCATCATGCTTTTTTGTACATTTCTTTGCCATCACTGCACGACTACGATGTGAAAATGCCTAATTCACGATTTCTGGAGAACGTAAACAAGCGAAGACGAATTTTCCCTTCTCTTTCTAAACTTGAGTCCGGTCCCCAAGAAATCAACTTCAGCGAAATTCGCTTACATTTCACATTTTCAGGGAATTGGAATAAACGCAACAAAGTTTGAAAAAAAGCGAATTCATTTTTAAAAAGACTTTTTCGCTGCTGTCGCCGTCGTCGATGCTAAAGCTCCCTAGTCTTACAGTGCAGCTATTGTCAACGGGGCCACCAAGACAAAGTTGACTAACTGGATTACAGGAGAATATTAAGTACAGTGGTTTTTTAGCCAATTAGCAAATCATAAGTAAACAGCAAATTACTCGAAGGACAAAATTTAAATATTGATGGCAAATGTTTCAAAGAAAGAAAATTTACCATTAGACAACGTTTTTCTGTCTGAAACTAAAAGAAATATAGTGCCTATGAGACATATTTGTTTGTTACAAACTGTTATTTTGTTATCAAGCAGCTATTTCTTTGCTATCTGTTGACAATGGTGGCCCCAGTTTCAGTGGACTTGCTCTACTCTTTGTTTACTGCAGTGAATGACCAGGGCATTTGTTCTTAGTGTTGCCTTACGTGATTCTCAAAAGAGGTTGCAAAGGTTGAAGGACACTCAAGGTTATTTTTGTGAGTGAATTCTGCTGGCTGGCTGCCATCAGAAAATGCTTTGCTGCAAGTTTGTCTGTGGAAGGTAGAGTAGGGTGTACAGGGTTGAACAGCCCCTTGTGACACCAATCAAATTTTGATCTTTCAGGAGGGCAACAGTGGCAGAATCAAAGAGGAAGAGGGCAGGGTGGTGGGCGTGGCAATCAGATGGGTACACGTGGCAGAGGACAGACGTATGGAGACAGACAGAATAACACACGTGGTGGAATGCAAGGTGGGCGTGGTCGAGGAAACCAGCAGGGAACCCCATATAATTATAACCAGCAGCAATCAGGATCTTACAGAGGCAGCAGAGGCAGAGGCAGAGCTAGAGGAAGAGGAGGCAATAACCAGAATCAGTCATGGAATCAGAACTTCTCTTCTTACAACAATGCACCAAACCAGACATTTGTGGACAGTTCTTACGGTGGTGATAATGATGGTTACCAGTGGGATAATAGTGCACAGGGAGGAGGGTAAGCGCCTTTTAGGTCATTATACTGGAAAAGGCTTTTTAACAATTATTCCTCGAGCCCGAATGGGCTCTGAGTCAATAGCCCATGCCAATTGGCCAAATGGGCTATTGACTCAGAGGCTATGAGGGCGAGAGGAATAATTGTTTTTGTAAAATCTAACTAGTTGATCAAAAATATCGAGAATAAAAAACTTTTAGCTAGTTAAAGCTAGACTTTAATCCTTTTTTGCCGCCAAAAAGCCCGCGCTTTTCGCTACTAGTGGGCTATAACATATAGCCTAGTAGTACCTCAACCAATCAGAATGCAGCATTGATAATAGACCACCAGTTGGATTTTACTAAAATCTTTTATCAAAATAATTCTCTCTACTTATTCTTTAAGGTAATGTATGGACATCAGTCTGGATGTTTGAGTGTGTATTGGTTAATGCATGTGACAATTTTTCTTCACTCATTGCTTAACCATTGTTTTGACATTGCCTTGTATCGTACAGGGAGCGAATGTTGCCACCAGAGGCATTTGGATCCAGATCTCAGCCCCAGTCACAAGGTCAGCAGTTTATCAGCTATGATGAACACTATGATGATTACTATGGCAACCAGAACACTTCCTACGGTGGCTCTAACTATGAGGTACAGTAAATAACACCTTTAATTCGGTGCCCTTTATGAGTTCTAGAAGTCCTGGCTCATAGAGAAAATTGCGCTTGATATTTGTTCAGGAGCTATAAGGAGACTTTGACAAGATGCTTTGCCCGGCCCCGCTAGCATTGGTGCTATAAATACTGCCGAGGGTAAATAAATAACGGAATTATTGTTATTATTATTTTTCAACTTGGTGTGAAGGCAACCCCCAAAAATGTTTGTTTTTCCTGAATGAGGCCTCTCAATTCATTGTCTTGATGACCTGTGCATGTACAGCTGGTTTATCCACTTTTCCATAGCTGATATCCCCTATGCGTTGCAAAATGTATTACTACTACTGCTCATTCTTTTTAGTATATTGAGCCATACGCCGACCAGAGCACATATTCCACTCAGAGCGCTAATCAACAACGTTTTCAGCCACCTGTTCACACACCAAGTGCCAATGTTGGCAGCAGTGTAGGCAGTGATAGTGGTGGAGTTTCCGGAAAAAGTAACGTCAGCCTTCTGCAGGGAGCAATAGCAGATTTGGTGAGTTAAGTATTAAAATAGCTTTCTCTTCGTGAAGTACCAAATACGTGATGAGTGAAAATAGGAAATAGCTTCAATAGAGTTTTATCAAAATTCTAACAATTTCCCTTGTCTTGCCTTCCCCGCGAGGGAAATTGTTAGAATTTTGACAAAGCGCAGGTGAGACACTGACGGACTGTATTTCCTAATTTCACCAGTATACCATTTGATTAGCTTAATAATGTTAATACTAGTAATAGACGAGGTTACAGAGGTGCGAGTGACATTGCTCGAAGGTAAAAACCCTTTAGCTCTAACGCTGCGCTTTGCGTTAGTTTCACGTGATAGATGCTCGAAATGCGATGATGCTCGAAACTAAATTGTTGCATGCGTCCCGTAGGACGCAAAGATCGATTGATTGATCGGAAGACTTTTTTTTAGAATATCCTGTTTGGGTGATTTCTGTGGCTGTTCTTGTGGCTGTTGTTAAACGACGCTTATTTCTTTTAGGGCGCTTTCCATTCACCAAAAATTCCGGTTTGAAATTTCGGAAACTTCACGTGCTAAATGGAACGGTACATTCCGGTTGCACAGACCCGACCCAAACCACCGCGNTTTTGACAAAGCGCAGGTGAGACACTGGCGGACTGTATTTCCTAATTTCACCAGTATACCATTTGATTAGCTTAATAATGTTAATACTAGTAATAGACGAGGTTACAGAGGTGCGAGTGACATTGCTCGAAGGTAAAAACCCTTTAGCTCTAACGCTGCGCTTTGCGTTAGTTTCACGTGATAGATGCTCGAAATGCGATGATGCTCGAAACTAAATTGTTGCATGCGTCCCGTAGGACGCAAAGATCGATTGATTGATCGGAAGATTTTTTTTTAGAATATCCTGTTTGGGTGATTTCTGTGGCTGTTCTTGTGGCTGTTGTTAAACGACGCTTATTTCTTTTAGGGCGCTTTCCATTCACCAAAAATTCCGGTTTGAAATTTCGGAAACTTCACGTGCTAAATGGAACGGTACATTCCGGTTGCACAGACCCGACCCAAACCACCGCGCGTTTTGTTATCGTGGCTTTGCAGCAGACAAGCAGACTCAAAATTACACTCTAAAAGAGAAGAGTAAATACTGCTTATATCCTAAAGAACACTCAACTGTCGAAAAGGGGCGGTGGAAAACTAAAGGCGAAGGAATCCTATTTCGTGTAGAAAGCCTATGAATGCAAGTTAAGGTAAAAAATTCTCGTGAATTGTAGCGATTCGTTTGTCGGAATATTGGAACGATTCGAAGCAATTCCCGGAACTGTGCGATAAATAAATTCGGTGTTTTGGCCAGATTTGTATTCAGCCATAATATCTTGGACAGGTTTCAGACAAATAATACGCTGATTCTCACGGACTTTATACACACACTTTTTTCACCTACGTGTCGTGTTGCATCATTTATTTGTCTCGGTTGATGGCAAATATCAAAAGTCGAAAAAAATTGCAACTGATTCAAACCATTTGAGATGTCTTGGCTTTACTCACAGTCCTTCACTTTCCATTGGAAACTACTTGTTCTTGTAAGCAGGATACAAAAGAGCGCTACTGGGGACAACAATTTTGGCAAATGGAAAGGGACATTTCGGTCCGACTGACCGAAATGACCAGACCGGTCACTGATGACCACCTTCAAAGCTGGTCCCGAATATTCCGGTCGGACCAAACCGAAATGGTCCGTTCCTTTTGATGAACCAACCGAAATTTCCGGAATTTGCGGTTGAATGGAAAGCGCCCTTAGTCTTTGTTGTGCTTTACAATGGAAGGAGTATATTTTTATTTCAGTATACCGTAATACACAGTTGTGGAATCTGTCTTCAGATTAACTGTGTGGTTACAAAAGACCTAGTGAATCATTGTTTTTTTTTTAACTGGGACTCAATGTTTCTGGATTGGGACGCGTGATTTTCACAAGATGAGTTCCAGGACTCACCATAACTATTTGTAACAAAAGCAGTGCTGATTGCGGATTTGGTATTACGTGTGTTATCCAGTTAGGAATAGGAGAATGTTAATCAGTAGCTTATTCATGCTATTTTATTGCAAGAAGTGCATATGTGGCTAAAGAAGAATGATGACCTAAAAGGCCGAGTTTTAGCAGCTCTCAGTTCTGCTGAGAGTCTGCGATGGACAGAATGCCTGAAGCGATTTACTAAATAACACTGACTTCTGAAAGCCAAGAATGTGTCGTATCTAGAAAACTTGACGTAAATGCCCAGATAGCATATCCGGATCAGATGATGAAGGGACCTTACTTATGGTGCCGAAAATCTACATAATGTAAGGATTACAATCAACGTGGTTCTCTCTAAGAGATAAGTACTCATTGATTTGTGTGTTTGTTGTTTAGGGAAAGCTTGTTAGCAGTGAAGAAGATGCTTCAATGGCTTTGCAAGTGTCCAACGCTTTAACGCAAGCATTGCTACAGTTTCGTATGAACAATCTTAGTAAAGAGGTATGTACAGGGCGGGTTTCACAGGGGCACCCAACGTCAATTTTCGGAAACTATCTGTTCGGAAGGCGATTTGAGATCTCGAATTTTCTGAACATTCGTTGTAAACTTTCTTGCTTGCCTGTCTCTCCTAGGATTTCAAACATCTAAAAAATTGTATTATTGTCCATTTTTAACGGATTTTTACCCTAAAAAGGTCACCTAGAATTTTCGGGAGGCCTTTTTCTGGCTGAAGTTTTGGAAAAGGTAAGTTTTGATCCCTATAATTTTCGGATCACTAGACTTTCACCTAGGAAATCCGAACAGATGAAAAATTTTTTGGGATAAAAATATGCCTATATCTACCGTTTGAATACTAAAGTACGTTCAACAATGCTATGTTTAAGTGGTTTTGAACCATATTCTCGTTGGGTGCCCCTGGTTTCAGTTTCATAAACACATATACAGTGGACGCTCTCGTAAGCGACCACCTTGGAAATTCCGCCGGTCGTAACTAGACCTGGTCGCTTACGAGAACAACAACAATGTCAATTTTATTGCACCAATAGTAAAAACGTAACTAGAATAAGATTGTAACAAGCTAATAATAATTTAATTGTGGTACTGGCTGTCTGGAATAACCACGGTGCTAAAAAGACCAGACAGCCAATGAGCTCTCGTAAGCGACATAAAGGTAAAAGAAAAGAGGGTGGTCGAATAAAGAGCTTCAGAAACGTATTAATCCTTTCACTGCAAAAGTGCTTGATGGAGTTTTGTAAGGTGACTCTAACTTTTGAGTCTGTGGACGAAATCCTATGATGTGATCATTCAACTGAAAGCTCTCTGCCTGTACTTTCCATGATGCTATTTGTTTGTCAAAATTTTAGAAAATGAAATTTGGAAATTTGGTCGAAATTTGCCTTTGGTCACATTTAGCACTGAAAGGGTAAATAATTCGTAAAGAAACAACAAAAGAAATAAGTATTAAATGAGTGTCTTTATATCTGATATAGACACAGTTAAACTGTACGTCCGATATATTTTTAGACCATTAGCGCAGTGTGCAGCGTTATTAAAGTGTTGATTTATACGAATAAGAGTGGTCGCTTACGAGAGCTTAAAAGGAGAAGTCCAGTTGGGTAATCCCAAAAGTGGTCGCGGTCGCTTACGAGAGATTTTCATTACTAAGTTTAAATCAAAGTTCCAACGGGGTTTCACAAAGGTGGTCGAAACTTGAGCTGGTCGCTTACGCTTGTGGTCGTAAGGAGAACTTTGACTGTATTACACTGCTTTCTCAGTGTCCTTAACTCTTAAGTCAATTACCCAACCAGTCAGAAGCAATTGCAGAATCAACTTAGGAACAGTTTGCAGCAGTTTTCCCGCGCTTCGCATGGCGACATGTAGTCTCTCCGTATCAGAGATTCAGAAATATTTCCACTCTTTGGGTCTGACATAGCGTAAGGTTTTGTATTCTTCAGCACCATGGACTTGCATTGGGTATGTTTTATATCACTCCTCTCTTAGAACTTCGGTAAGGTCTGAAATAGGGTTGGGAAAAACACACATTTTGGCCTGAAGTAAGGTCAAGTTTCACAAAGCGTTCCGCACACCCCTTCTCGAATTTTCCATAAGTATCTCTCCTCCCCCACCGAGACAACAGACATAAACGTTACAAATTCCACCATTTTTGGCTTGTTTTATTCACAGGGCGACACCAGTACTGCTGCGAGCACTGCAACACACATGGACGCAGGACCATAAATTTGTAAGTGGGACACAGCGTTTTTCAGGGCATTTGATAGTGTTGCCTTTCCGTTCAGTCTTTCGCGCCATTTTTTCCACTTAAATTTTTTGCCATACGGCCTTAAGAATTTTCAACAGTTTTAGTAGCTCTTCTGATTTACTGGAGGTCTTACAACGCTTTTGCATTTGATACGGCTGTAATGGTACCAAATTTAAACCTGATGATTTCGAATAAAGCCGCAGTAACTATGTTTACAGTCAACTCCCTCTAAGACGGACACCTTTGGGACCGGCAGTAAGTGTCCGTCGTAGAGAGATGTCCGTCTTATAGAGAGTCAAATAAAGGGAGTAAAGAAAGGCAGGGACCAACTCTAGGTGTCCGTTTTAGGGAGGTGTCCGTCTGATAGAGGTGTCTGTTAAGAGAGAGTCGACTGTATAATGGTCTCAGCGCTTATTTTGTTTATTTACTGGTTAGGTTGATCAAGTATCCCTTTTTGTGAAAATGATAATAAAAATTGTTCATATATTTAAATGTAAGAGAAAGAGATCATCGCGGTTATTACAGGATTGATAGCTCAGTGAAAAGAAGACTGCACAGGTATCGCAGAGGTCCGAATTCTTTTTAACCCTGAGGACCCAGTTGTTCCAACGCCGGTTAGCGCTAACCCAGGGTTAATTTTAACCCGGGTTTCTTTTTCTTTTTATCAAAAGCACTCTCTCGGATAATTTTCTCTGTTCTTTTTAGAGTATCCAATCATCAATTGCAAATTGTAGGTAAAGAGAATTAAAGTGAATTTGCTTTTTAAGCTTTTATATCTGAGTTCAAATTTCGCACTAACCCCGGGTGATCTTAACCCACTGCAGCTTCGAACAACCCGGCCCAGATTTTAGTACGTAACTCCGATGATCTTTTATATATTAAATTTCCCTTTTTCTCCACAGAAAAAGAAGAAGAACAGGTGATAGATGAATTTCAGCTGATCAAAGCGATTTCAACCGGACAGACGAAAGAAAAATGTTTTATCGTGATAATAAGGATAACTCATTTTAAGTTAACAAAAACGTGTAATTTTATTGAGATTTTAACAGAAACAACTACACTTGTTACGCTTGGAACCACTAACACATTCATTAGCTGGTTTTTACAGAGTTTTCCTTTGAAGACTAATAAACGGGTTTAAGTTGTCTTTAATTGCATGGTAAGATGTGTTGTTGCAGCTTCACACTAAGCACATCGCATTCCGTAATTTAAATACCGCGGTGAGAAATAAAGAGCCCCGGATATACACAAAGAAGTACGTGATGTGGAAAACAAATGTCTGAGCTTCGCAATAATTCCGACTGTTGTATTTTACAGTCGAACCTCCCGTAAGCGACCACCCAAAATGCGAAGACTTGGTGGTGGTCGCTTACGGGGACTGGTCGCTTACGAGAATCGAACAACTGGGGTTTCTTCCGAGAAATCCGTACACATTTACTTTAAGGAAGAGAGATTTATTTCATGCATTTTCCAAGTAACAATATGTATAGTTCCATGTTGTTACTAAAGGTCTTCGTATATTTTAAGTAGGATAGTACACACAGAGACCATAAGGGATCAGACGAATCGTCAAGTGGTCGGGGAAACAGAGGATCCAAACCTTCCACTCCCTACCTTAAATTCCCGCCTCCCCAGACTTTTTTCTTGGCTTCCTCCCTTGAGTCTTGATTTAGCCCTTGTAGTTTGCGAAATATCAAGTATCTGATCTACGCCTTTATGGAGCATTTTACATTAGAAAGTGCAAGCCCACACTCAATTCCTGGGAGCAGTGTAGTGAATTCGCAGACCTTTTATTTTAGTATTTTAGGGACCATTCTTAAGCACTTTTAGAGGTCCTTTGTCTAGAGACATTCCATCATTAGAGCGTTATATTCCATTGACAGTTTATTTCTATAGCTTTCATACATACGTCTCATCTTTTACACATCTCACCCTACACCTTTTTTGCATATATACATAGCGCGCGCGGAATATTTTGTCATCCCTGATGATGCTGTTGATCGGCAGAAAAAAAAAAAAAGAAAAAAAACAGCAGTTTAAGGCCTTACTAGATCAGTTTTAAATTTTTAAATTATGCTGCTGAAGGACAACATGAACAGATTATTGCTGAAAGAAAATTTAGCAAAACACTATTTTGTTAAGAATAAAAGATTACACATGCAGCTCTTTTATTACACATGCAGCTCTTTTGTCGCTTTATTTTTTTCTGCTTGTCGCTCAAGAAAAAATGACCACTTACTAAAAGCGTACTTTTTTGTGCAGAAATTTGGAGTTAAAAGGCATTGGTTGGAAGAATTGCGGCGCGTGCGCGTTTCCGTAAATTTTTCGCACGCTTAGTCCTTTGGTGACTTTTGAGTTTTTCCGTTATTTCGATTAAGAGCTCGGTAAAGGAACAAACAATTATGATCAGCATTTATTTGTTTTCAGTATTTCTGAATATCTTTAACGTTTGTCATTGAAAACAGTTCTACATTTGTTCGCTAGGAGTAAATTTCCTGCAAAATTCTTGTTGTTACGGCGCCACACGTGCACCTAATAGTTTGCTCATCAACTTTACACCTGGATTATCGTCGGCATGGTCGGGTCCATGATTTCCCAGTTGAGCGACATTAAAGCACAGTAAATAGATTGGAATGGTTGTGAAACCCGTTAGACTCCTTTGTTATATGTTTTTGTGGGCCTGACGGTGCACAACGTTCAATAGCATTCCCATCATTTTGATCCCACTGACCAATAAAAACGCTGCATTACATTATTCCGTCGCAATTTGCCAACAGAAAACAAAGGATTGTGCACCTTCAGGGAGCTTCCAACATAAACTGCAGCACTGTGGTTTTTATATTTGATGTTTGTTGTCTTTCACAACCAGTCTCATGTTGAGAGGGTTGTGCTGGTTTTGTTGGTTGTGTTGGTTTGTGATGGTTGCGTCGGTTGTGGTCGTTGTGTTGGTTGTGGTGGCTATGATGGTTGTGGCGGTTGCGGTGTTTGTGAAGAGCGTATTTTCTACAGAAAACTATCCTCCAAAAAACATGTATTTTTGGCGTCAAACTAATATTTTACTTAAAGTGAAAGCTTCAATTTTAAAGTAGGTTTGGATGAACAACAACAACAAAAATCTTTATTTGCATGACCAAAATCTTTACAGTATTGCAAAAGCGTACAACAAACCATGAGAACAATTTTAAAATCACAACAATAATTGAAATTACAACGACAATTGAAATTAATTAACTGTAACATGATGTAAATAAGACACAAATTAGAGTTCATAAATTCGATTATCAATTCGATCATTAACGAATACATGATATCTTAAAGTTTGGGATCAGAGACTCTATCTAACTATAATAATTATCCAGGTTAAATGTTTCATAATCATATAACTAAAGTGAAAACCCTATACAACGAACCTCTGTTATAACAAATGACTTTTTTCGCCCTCACTTAAGCATAGCAAAATGTATCAAATACCCGATTGAACGCACTCTCGTCAAAACAAACAGCGATTTTTCTAGTCGCGCTTCAAGGTGTCAAGGTACTTTTTAATGTAATGTATGCCTACAGGATACTCTCTTTTCCTTACTTAGGAGAAGTTTAATATCGACTACAGTTGCTGTCGTTACGTTCAACTCTTAAATTATTTCCTCTTCCGGGAACCTTGTGGTTATTCCTTTATTTGTTAAAACAGATAAAATAACGGTTTATATTAACACCGCTTGCAGGACCCACACTGTTATTTGTTTAAGACGACCTTGAGGCAAACACCAATGATGATGATTACTACCAACGCGCAGCCAGCACCGATTCCTCCTTTTTCTCCACCACTGAGACCTAAAGGTATGAAAATATGCTTTTAGTTGTTTCTAGGTAATCAAAAAAAAACAAACAACGTCGCCCTAAACAAATTCAGCAGAGTTGTATCAGACTTCAGAGCTAGATCGGGTTGTTCGAAGCTCGGTTAAGATAATTAACCCAGGGTTAGAGAGAAATTTGAACTCAGCTATAAGAGCCGTTAAAAAGCAAGTTCAATTTAATTCTCTTTGCCTACAATTTGAGGACTGGATACTCTAAAAAGAATAGAGAAAATTATCCGAGGGAGTTCTTTTGATAAAAAAGAAAAAGAACCCCGGGTTAAAATTTAACCCCAGGTTAGCCCTAACCGGCGTTCGAACAACTGGTCCCAGAAACGAAAACAAAAACGGAGAATTTTCTTTGTATAGAGATAAAAATTATATTTTAGCCAGGGCTAAAAGAGAAGCTCTAGTATATATTTAGTCTCGCTTGCTTTAGCAAAGCGAGAATCTTAAAATGCAGTTCGGTTTTTTTTTTTTCGGTGGGACCTAGTTTGTAGGCCCCGCGTTCCTAGCGAAGACCGTGGAAACTGGGGATAAGAATCGTGACGACTTTCATTGTATGGAAATGAGTCTCGTGATGAGCATGTGGTTTATTTTGGGGGATGACTGGAATAACGCGCAATGTTTATCACGTTTAAGTGCTTTTCTTCCATGCAAGAAATCAGACTTTGTCTTTTGCGTTAAAACAGGTTACGTTTCATGCTTATGACATAGTAAGCCGATAAAATCGTAAGTGCAAAACAGACATAACAAAAAGTAAAACTGTAAACTCTCTCTGATCTTATGGTAATTTGGTTCTGACCTTCACGATCACGTGCGAAAAAGTAAATACAGCTAAACGTGACAGAAAGAATAGTTTTGTAAAGACGTGTTCCGGGTCATGGTAGCGCAGAATCTGGGGATGAAAATCGACACGATGCTCTCAATCTCAGTGAACGCTTCGAAAAACAACGCGCAATTGTCCGAATGTTATGTTTTGAGACGAAAAATTTGGAAAGATTAATGGATTATACGGTGATGTCGCTTACAAATCCACACACCATTCGTGGTAGACCCACACTAAAAGATGTCGAGCGTTTTCGGAATGGTTCGTTCTACGAATTCTGTCGTTTGAAAGCGTTGATAACTTTGAAAGAAGTGAATACATCAGATGTTGAAACAAGGAAGAATGTTCATGAGCAGAACTTCGATGATGAGGTAAAAAACAACAAGCAAATCGTCGTTAATTTACCTCTCGTGTTCAACAGCCTGATTCTTTTCCTTTTTTTCATGATGCTGGATACTTAATTGTAACGAACAACTTGATATTTCGTATTGTACAGGCGATGATAAATGTCGAGGAAACAAATCTTGGGCTGATTTTGGAATCTTTGAAACTCAAATGAAATTCAATGAAATTGCCTGATTTGACTAACCCGATCTAGAATTCTTATGTATTTGCGAAATACTGTAGGAAAACGGCATAAAAAAGAATTCAAATTCATTTTCGGCGACCTAAATTTACGGCTTCGAGACAGCACTTCCGTTTGCTGTCCACTTGCTGTCCACCGCAACAGATGATGACGGAAATGACGTAGTAAGGTAAAAGTGTTCAAGATCAGAGCAATAAAAGGAGATGGTAAACCTACACGACTTTTACCTCATGCCAAAATGCTGCTCGTCCCAATAAAGTTTTTTTCGTCTGCTGGGTAGATTATGCTCTGGAAGGTTCTACATTTTCACTGAGTAAATGTTATTTTACCCGCATGTTTCACACTGAGAGATCATACCACACATATCGATTTACTGTGGCTATTGGAGGGGAAGAGCGTTGCGTGACGACATTAAAAACGGCTGTGTAGCAGACTATTTTGAAGCATGATGGTGAAGCTTTTTATTACGGCTGAATAAGGGTTCCAATTTTCTCCAAAGTATCTTCTGGATCTGAATAACTAAGCGATTTTCTTTAGTCCATGAATGTAATGTTTTTGTGCAATGCTGTATCACGTTAAGCCCAGCTCATTAGTTTTGTTTGGAAAATCTTAAATTATTACGGGTTACAGGTCGTGTGTACTGTTGCAATAAAACGTAATACTGAGTAGAGCGGAGGTACAAGGCAACTGTAATATCATCACGACTAAGCCATTCTTCGGTGGTTCCAACAATGTTACCTCTTGCGTCTTTGGTTGT